AAAACGGCCAACTTCCCGAATTCCCGAAAAGCTCGTTCTTTTCTGTCAGACGACAAGTAAGGGGCCTCTGCCTCTCGATTTGCTTGTTTTTGGCCGAAAACAGGCTCGTACGCTCCTCTTGATTTTCGTCTTCGGCCCGAAAAAGCTGCCAAGATCCCTCCTGCCGAGCTTGTCACCGTTTGTCACCGTTTGTCACCGCTATGTCACCGCTACCTTTTTGGGTCGAAAAAGCGCCTCCGACTTCGCGGACGACCTCACTTTGACGAAGAACTGGGCGGGCTGGAGCAAGGTGCAGATTTCCAACAACAGCGCGGCATCCAACAGCGGCCCGGAGCTGCGGCTGCTGGGCAACCAGAGCGCGCGGGTCTTCCTGGAGCGGGACGGCGGGGCGCACCAGAGCTCATCATGATCAACGACGAGGCGCTGGTCCAGACGAAGAGCCTCTCGACGCAGCTGTCCCTCACCACAAACCAGAGGAACCCCGGCTGCCTGGTGATAGCCGGCAACACGGGCAACGTGGTCTGCAACACGAGCTTCACCAACTTGCCGGACAGCCGGGTGAAGACGGAGATGGCCGAGGCCGACCTGGGGGAGCTCCAGCAGCTCTTCGACTCCGCAGGAACGAAGTGGAAGAACCTGACGCGGACCGCCCGGTGGAGCGACGGCACCGAGACGGTCACCCGACTACTCGCACCTCACCAGCGTGCTGTGGGGGTGCGCCAGGGCTTCCAGGCCAGGCTGGACGAGGTGGAAGCCTGGCAGGCCCAGCGAGGGCCGAAGAACAAGTAAACATGGAGGCGCTGAGAGATCTGGCCGACAACTTCAACGTGCGGGACCCACGGATGCTGTACCGACTTGCGAGGCAGCGAGACCTCGACGTGACGCAGGCCATGGCCTTTGAGGCGCTGAACACGGGCGCTGGGAAGTCGGCTGCGGAGGGGCCGAACGACCGGCTGCAGGCGGACCTCATCGACTTCAGCCAGAATACGCGGGGGAAGACGAAGTACGGCCTGGCGGTCATGAACGTCTTCACCCGTCTACAGAACAAGAACGCCGAGACGGTCGGCCAGGCCACCAAGCGTGCCACGCAGGAGCTGGTGGGGGACGACAAGAACTTCGTGGTCACGACCGACCTGGGCAACGAGTTCTCCACGCTGGACCGGGACCTGCCGGCGGCGTGCACCGCACGAAGCGCCCTGAGGATTGCAACGCCACGGCCGTGGTGGACCGGGGCATCCAGACGCTGAAGAAGGACCTGGCTACAAGGGTGGCCCGCAGAGGCGGCCGGTGGAGCGACCACTTCAAGCCGGCCGTCGGCCTACAACGTGCGCTCCACGAGACGGTATACGACGCGCCCGAGGACGTGGAGAAGCAGCCGGCCACCGAGTTCCGGCTGCTGCAGGACAACGCCGACAAATTTCAGCACAACAAGGACCTCACGGACCGGCGCATCAAGGCAGTCGAGGATGCGGGGCTGTCCGAGCACCAACGAATGCGGCGAGGAGCTTCAACCCACAGTACGGCAACGTGCAGCAGCTGCGGGCCGTGGACTCCATGACCGTCCGGAGCACCGAAGGCCGGGAAACCCTGCTGAAGCTGGCGTTGCCCTGCCGGCGCCCCAGGGCAGCGGCAACGCGGCGGGCCGACTGACGAGGCGGGGCAGACCGGCTGCGGTGAGGCAGCTGGACGACTTCCTGGGGCCCAGGCGGCCCAGAAGCGATTCGGGCCGCTGACTTTCTTGAGCAGACCTGACGGAAGCAACATGCCTTAGCTTGTGGAGAGAACTTTTAGCCCAACACGATTTTGCGAATCTCGACCTTAGAGCGATCCCTGGACCCCGCCCAAAACGGCCATTCAATTTGTGGATGCAAGCCTGACACCCATGGAACATGTGCTCCCACCTGCTAGCGCGTTTTTTTTTACACTCACAAAAGTTTCAGCACGTCCAGCTGCGCAATGATAGTCTCGCAACTCATGAGAGAGTATTTCTTCTCCTCCTGACGTCTGGCCCATGTCTTGTTTGTAAAGGACTGCCAGCCTTCAGACTCACTGCAAATCTGCAGCAACACATTTTGCATGTCCTCAAAGTTGTCCTTCTTTGCCTTGTCCTGCAACTTCAGGCCGCCTGCATCCTTTTTCTTTCCATAACGACATTGCGCAGCAATGAACTCGAGCTTACCAGTTGCCTTGCGTCTCACAGGGATCAAAAGGTCGTGGTGAGCCGTTGCAAAATTCCGGTTGGACTTGATGGCCTTCCCAACGTCACTCATGACAGTTGCTTCATTGCCTTGGCCGCTTGGATATTCCACACCATCACTCCAGCAAACTTCGAACGGCTCCAAAACAGCTCGCAAATGTGGATCCTCCGTAGGGTAGATCTCCGAAAACGGGACCCAGGTGACTTCAGGACTGAGATTTCTTGCTACGCAGTGAAGGCGGAAGCGAACAGCCAGGGAATTGGCCACCAGGCCTTCCCACAGCGGCCCCCTCTCTGTAGCGCCCCTTTCCTGCCCTTTCAACAGTTCCAGCAAGTCTGGCAGGAGCCCTTCCAACGAAATGTTCAGCTGTTTCAAGTCGTTTTGGAGGGCGTCTTTGATATTGGTATCCTTACACCACCACAGCCGTGGAACCAGTACGGACTTGTTGTTTGGAAATGCTGCTCCGGCCCTGAAGATGTCTGACCACCTCACTGAGGTTCCGGGCACAAGCTGGTGGCCTTCTGCAGGCCATCGAACCGCCGAGCAAAGAACCAACGACAAAGCCACTTTGGGCTCAGCGAAATAAGGCGCTGCATCCGCGTACGAGCTTTCGAACTCATTCGACATGGCGTTGAGTGCAACCTGAGCAGTTGATGCCAACTCACCCCTGGTCTGGAAAGCCGCCTCCAAAAGCCGGGGTACCCCGGCAGAGAAGAGGTGAATTTTGTTGAATTCCTCCTCCTGGTACTGCGTACCCCTCCAGCCTTTCATGGCTCGTCTGGCAGCTTGCAGTGACAATGGCGCTAGAGCTGGAGCTTCCTGGACCTCCAGCATGGTGTACTCCTCGGATGGCCTATCTTGCAGGACATTGACTGTGCCTGCGGAAAACATGCCCATCCTCTGCGGGAATCGGCTCAATAGTTCGGTGAAAGCCGATTTCTGTCCACCCATTTTACTCAGTCCATCGACCGTGCTGTTCACAAGCAGCTCTGCCTGATCGAGGAACAGTAAGCAAGGGCAGGCTGGTGTTGCATTGAAGGCTGCAGCCGTCACCAGAAGCCACTGCTCGAAAACAGCTTCCTTGATTCTGCAACGTAAGCGAACCCAAGCCTCAAAGCTGTTGACAGCTGGCGATGATCGGCTGGATTCCAATATGTTGACCAAATCGCTGAACCTCGTCGTCTGGAAACCAATGGGTGGCCCTTGGCTCACCTCCACAGAGTAGCCATCGAAGATCTGGCAAAGGTGCCACAAGATGATGGCAGAAACCAGCAAGTCAGGATCTTTGCGCAGCAGCGTTGGCGGAATCGTCAACGCATCAACAACCAAGAGCCGCCCGCACTGTCGACTTTCGGAAAAGTTCGAGACCTTCGCCAAATGACGGATGAGCGATGTCTTGCCGGTGCCCCGTGGGCTCCACAAGGCCAAGACCGTCGGCTTGTTGGTCTCCAAACTCTGGATCAGCTCTATCTCCTCTAAAACTCTCTTCACAACCGCCTCTCTTTCCTCAAACGGCCTCTCAATATTGTTGTTGATTCGGCTGTTCAAAAAGCGGTCTTCAAAGTCCGAGAGATCTGCGGCGTTAAAACGAGGGAGCTCAACCTGCGCGGGAGGTGCATGAGGGAATGCTGGGAAGGACAAACAATCGCAACAAACCAAACACGCATCGGCAATTGGTGGGAAAATCGATCACTAGCAGGTTCCTTCCCACTGGTTCATGTTTTTGCAAAACACTAACCATTCACAACTGATCACAAAGAAGCATGGGTACTTGGTGCGAAAGCCGAGCACTGGGAAAGTAAGGAATACAAGGGTACCAAACCCGAAACAAAACCAAAATTTCCAGCAGGAGCACTGCCACTGCCCATGGACGCAAAGCGGGGGATGCGTGGTTCAGCTCAACAATCCTTTTGTGGGGCTCCACGCTGAGCAAAACCACTGAGTTCCCAGGAACCCCGACAAGGTTGATGAGGGGGGAGAGTGGCGTCAAATATGTTGAGGTTCTGTGGATGTGATCAGGGCAGCCCCACTGAAAGCATTTCCGCGGGGGAAATCAAAACCACACAAAACGTCAAACGGCACGTCTCAACGTCACCCGGCAGCAGAAATACATTGTGCACACTTTACATGCTCGTGCTGTCGGAACAAAATTTAACCTTCGGATTGCATTGTGTCTGCAGCAGCAACGACCATGGCAGAAGGGTAGGTCTTGCTCTTCAAAAGGCAGGCGACTGGAACAGCAGGCTCTTCAATATTTGCGGGTTCCCCCTCGACTGTTTGATAGTTTTGCGCTAAACACTCACACCAAACAAATCAGGCAGATATGAACAGGTACGGAGAAAAATGAACAACAGAACGGAATGGAATGGCAGCAAACGGGCAAAACATCGAGCAAGAACACCGCCAGGGAGATCAAAGAGAACAATCAAAGACATCAGAGTTTGCCCTCCCTCTCCCCGGCAGACGGGCAGGTCTTGCTCTTTCAAAAGCAGGCTGGGGGCAAGCACAAAATCACTCACAACGATCAACGGCACGTCTCAATCAATGTCGACCAGCAGGAATGACCGACCTCCAACAAGGAAAGGCAACCATCCGTTCATGGGGGGTCCCTACCGAGCCTGCCAACGACACGAACCGCCGCAATCTGCACAAATGTAAACTTGGGATTTCCTGGTTCTGTGGATGTTGATCAGGGCAGCCCCATTGAAAGCATTTGCGGGCCGCGGGGGGAATTCCTCAAATCCGCACGCAACGACCAATGTCTCAGAACAAAGTCAAGAGCAAACGATTTTCCAGCCGTGCCTGGGGCTCCTGCAGCAACTGGATCTTCTTGGTCAGCAGCACTGCCGGGCCACGGAGGATGCCATCCTGCATCATCTGCTCCAGTGTCAGCTCCAGCAGGGACTTGCCGGTGACGCCCTGCTGCTGCAGTGTCGTCACCGTGCGCTGGATGAGCTCATCTCTCACCTTGCCCTCGTTCAGCACCGCTTCGGACCAGCTCAGAACCTCCTCTTCGCCAAAAGCCTCCACCTCCTCGCGGCTCTTGGCGAGCCAGTCCTGCCAGCACTCACCAACAACCAAGCCTGGCGCATGCGAGCCCCCGGCCTCCGCACCACTGTCCTGGCACGATTGCAACCGGCCAAATTTACAACTGCTGATTGGAGCGTCCTGCTGCGGGCTGGCGCGCGAAGCAACTCCGCCACGCCCAGGGTGCCAGCTTGTCACCTCAAGAGCTGAAATTTAGGCAAAAAAATCACATCAACGCCGAGATCTGGACCTGTGCCTTGTGGGAATCCTGGCGGACCAATTGCACCAACTCGACTCACACACCCCAGCTGTGCGCACGAACCGACGGCCTCTTCCAAGCCCTTTTTGGTTGCTTTGGCCTGCGTCGCACGAAAACCGCTTGCGAATCTCAGACAAAGCACGCAGTCCTGCCTCCTCCACAAACTCGCGCAGTTTTTGTTGCAACTCGTCTTTCTTCCCTGAAAGGGTCCACTTCCCTGGATATATCTTCTGCGCTTTTCCTGAGCTCAACACTTTCACCGCTCTTGCAACCCCGACCCACGTGCTGCTCCAGCGGCGCAAGACGGCTTTGGTCTCTTTCACCGTGCCGTTGTCCTCCAGCACCCTGTCGGCTTCTGCGACCACCTGAGCGAGGCCAAGCTGGGACGTCGCTTTCTCTGAAGGTCCGCCGCCTCCTCGAGATCGCGCCGGTCCTGACAACCAACAAGCCCAACGTTCAAGCCCGATGCACGTGTCCCCCAGGCCTGGCCACTGTTGTCCTGGCGGCAACCGGCAAACGATGCGAACAGGCTTCGGGTCGGAGGAGTCCTCTTGCGCAGCCCCGGCGCGCCGAGCGACTCCGGCATGCAACGGGTGCCGTTTTGCCTGAAAGAGCCAAAGTGCAATCTGCTTGCGCCTGCGGGCAACTCTGAGAACTGGGCCAATATGCTGTCCTGGCACTCAGCACGAAACAAGAACATCCAAAGGAGGGACTTCATGCTCCTTCAGCCCAGGAACTCCTCGAGCAAAGTCCTGGGCGGCGACAAGGGACTCCTGAAACCCGAAAACCTTCGGGAAAAATATGTGTCCCAAGACCCAGGCCGTGCTCGGCTGCACGAGCAGCGCCAATGCGATCCCGAGAAGGCAGAGGCACATACCTGGCTGCTGCCCACCGCGGGCACGGTAGCGTCACAAGCTTGCCAGCCTCGGCTTTTGGTCCTGGTCCGCATCATCGCCATGGCTATTCGAAAAGCGCTTGAGCGGCCTGCGATTCCTCAAGCACTGGCACTAGACCCATCGGGCAACCATTGCGAGCTGTTGTTGTGTCAGTGTTGATGAGTACCCTCGAGCCAAGATTCCAGAGCAAACACAAGATTGACTGGCTTCTTTGGCAACACCAACGCACGGGTGCTCCTCCTCCTTTTCACTCGCGGCCTGAAGGTCGGTCGGGCCAAGCCTTGCAAGGCTTCGCAGCGTCCATCCGTCAGACTGGCTGACCCACATCCTGCCGCTGCATCAAAGTCCAAGCGAGATACCAAACTGGCCTGCCTGCAAAACAAGCAACCGAAATCGGCACCGCGGAAGTCACAAGCTGTCGTGCCCTGGAGGGCGGGGGTTTCAGGGGTCTCTGAAAGTTTTGAGGTTTCTGGGGCGCCTGGCGTTGCTGGGGTCCCTGAGGTTCCTGGGGTCCCTGGATGAGACGCTGTCAGAGGCAGGCATGGCTGCACGCGGAGGGCCAAGCTGCAGGCTCCGCCAGTCCTCCACGGACTCCTCCTGCAGGAGGCGTCCCAACGCCTCCATGCGCTCGGCGTCAGTGCGGCTCTTGGCCTGCGCCATCACTGCGTCGGCCACCTGCAGGGCCTTTGTGTCACCGGCCAAGACGGCGGCCTGCAAGTCTTCCCAGTCAGACTTGGCCGGCTCGCCGTCACCCTCACGCTTGCCGCGGGCAAGGTCGCCGAGATAGCCCGCAACTGCATTGAAGGACATAGCAACAAGATCCACAAGCAACTTTCAGATTTCAGCCAAAATCAGCTTCGCAAGCCCTCACATCCAAAGTCTGATCAACTCGTCTGCCAAATTCTGACCAACTCCTCTGAAAGTCACATGTGCACATGCTGCTGCTGGAATCTGCTGGGCACCAGGCGTCTTCTACTGGCCCGGCCTGGGCCGACGAGCGTCCCTGGGGTCCCTGGGGTCCCCTGGGGTCCCTGGGGTCCCTGGGGTCCCTGGGGTCTTTGGGGTCCCTGGGGTCCCTGGGGTCCCTGGGGTCCCTGGGGTCCCTGGGGTCCCTGGATTTTCTCGGATTTGCGGTGGGCAGTATCTGAAGCACCCAAGGTCCCTGGAGACCCTGGGGTTTGTGGGGTCCCTGGGGGTTCTTGGTGGGCCCCCCTCAAACAAATCCGCACGAGCGTGCTTGGGGTTTTTGGGGTCCCTAGGGTCCCTGGTCCCTCTGAAAACCCTGGGTACCTTTGGGGGGGTGTTAAATCCGGGTCAGGGCACCAGGGACCCTAGGGACCCTAGGGACCCTAGGGACCCCGGGGACTCCGCAGGTCTTGGAAGGGGGGGAGCCTCTGGGAAGTGGCGTGCCTTGAACCTCCATTGAACAAAGTCGTTCTGCTACGCAAACCAAATCAACGTAGACTATCAGTCTAAAAATCTGCAAATCTAGAAATCTAATAATGTACAGATCTATAAATTGATAAATCTACAAATCTAAACATGTATGAATGTATAGATCTACAAATCTAGAAATCTAATAATGTAAAGATCTATAAATTGATAAATCTACAAATCTGAAAATATATGAATGTATAGATCTACAAATCTAGAAATATAATAAAAAATCGATCTATAAATTGATAAATCTACAAATCTAAAAATCTATGAATGTATAGATCTACAAATCTAGAAATATAATAATATAAAGATCTATAAATTGATAAATCTACAAATCTAAAAATATATGAATGTATAGATCTACAAATCTAGAAATATAATAAAAAAAAATCGATCTATAAATTGATAAATCTACAAATCTAAAAATCTATGAATGTATAGATCTACAAATCTAGAAATACAATAATATAAAGATCTATAAATTGATAAATCTATGAATGTACACAAATAAATAGATCTGTATCTACTGAAACCGATACATGATCAAAAACCACTTCACAAGTCGCTTCCAGCAAAAAACCTGCAATTGACCGCAGGAATGTTCGTTGCACCCCACCTTGTCACCCCAGGTACCACAGGGTGTCCCCGGGTGCCTAAGGTCCCTAGGGTCCCTAGGGTCCCTGGGGTCCCCTGGGGTCCGCAGGGTTTCCAACGACGCTTCAGATTGACGGATGCTTGCGTCAAGAACGCCAGGGAACCTTCAGGGAATCAGGGACCCTAGGGACCCTAGAGACCCACAAACACAGGAAGATCCACGTGGCCTCACCAGGTCAAACTTGGCAAATTGGACCAGACCATGAAAACGCCGCGCAACCTGCACAGGAGTCCTGTAGAACGAATTGTGGATCCACCTTGCAAGCGGCCAAACAAAATGTGAAAAAAAAGCAACTCCAAAGGGCCGCACCGTGAGAAGATCTGCACGTCGCAGTGGATCCTGGCACCTGGCATGTGACGTGATTGCTCGGCGGGTCAAACAGAAAGGGAGCCTGACAGACGGTGAGTTGAGCAAGAGCCTCACGGATCACCTCAAAAGATCAGCTGCGCTTGGCGACGGCAACGGAAACAGCAAAAGGTCCGGGCAATGTAGATCCCGCGGTTAAACAAGCCTTGGCACGAGAAGCAAGGCTTGTTGGGCCCAAACCTCCAAGATCAGTTGGGCTTGGCAGTGACAGCGCAAACAGCCAAGCGAAGGCCCAGGCGGTAGATCTCGAGGTCACAAAGCCTGTTGCGGGACGCCGTTCTCCAACTCCACATGGCCGGCACACTGTACGTGGGGTCGAAACCACGCCTTGCACCCGCGAGCGGTTCCCCCCCCACCGCCCCGGACCCAAAAGTGTCCCCAAAAGGCTGCGGCAAGTGCTCACACCCGACAACGTAAAACCGTGAGAAACAACAGCAAGAACCTGTCATTTTTTTGTGCGCAAAACCCGTGCAAAAACAGAGTTTCCGGAAAAAATGACAAAAAAACACCCCTTTTCCGGAAATGGCTCTCGAGCCGCTTGATCTGGGGCCGACACTTTGGTCGGACCGTTTGTTTTGTCCGCCCTATAAGAAAAGAGACCGGCAACCCAGTCAAATTAACTGCCATCGCCAGCAACATGACAGTCGGGGAGGTGCAGACCTCCCCCAAGGGAGCCAAGTCGGCGCCGTTGAGGTGCGAGGGGAAGCCCATAGTCTGGCAATCCGAGTGGACCCACATGCTGTGGGAGCCCAGCAGCTTTGGCAAGGACCAAGGACCCAGGCAGAACGTGTGCCTTGCCATGGAGAGAGGCTCCGAGGCCTGGGGGGCCTGGGATGACTTCGAAAAGAAGTGCGTCAACGAGCTGTCTTTGCGGTCCAACCGCATCTGGAGCGACTGCGGCGATGCAAAAGACAGGTGGCAGAGCTGCCTCAAAGAGTCCTGGCAGGGCGCCACCTTCCTGAAGTGCAAGCTGGACGCACGGAACGTCCGTTTCTGGGACACCGACGGCAACAAGATCCAAAGGCCCGAGGCCCTTGCCGGCTGCGAGTGCCAGGCCCGCGTCGAGGCCAGGCAAGTCTGGATCATGGGTAAGCAGTGTGGTTTGGTGTTGGAAGCGAGGGATCTACAGGTGAAGCCCGGTACGGGTGGGGACTCCTGTCCATTCTAAACCGGCGTTCTTTTGGTCGTGGATTGCCGACGTAAAAGAACACGCCCGGAAAAACCCGCCGAGCGTGAGAGAACCCGGGAGATGCCAGGGACCTCAGGGACCCCAGGGACCCCAGGGACTTCAGGGACCTCAGGGACCCCGGGGATTTCAGGGACCCCAGGTCACCCAGCACACCCAGGACTGACAGATGAGACTGCAAGCACCACACAACTCGCCGAGACATGTTTTTTTGTGTGAAAAATAAGCACATTTGGCACGCGCACGCACGCAGACGCGCAAAAAAAACTGCACGTCACATAGTTTCCTTTGTTGCCCGTGTTCCCCCAAACGCATCCTGTTTATTCCCCTGTTCCCAAAAAAAGGCATAAAATGGCGGCCAGGGAGCCCAGCATCTGTGGCCAGCACCTGTGGCCAGCACCCAGCCACAGCGCGGATCCAGCTGCCTGCTTGGCAGCCCTTTTGGCGCTTGCTCAGCGCCTCCGCCGCTTGCTCCGTGGCCGTCCGTCGCCACCCGCCTCCCCCGCCAGCCAATCCCTGGCACCACCCGATCGCCTGCTGCCGGCAAAGAAAGCTGTGCTCTGCGCTTGCTCACCCTTCCCTCACCAGCCGCTGCCCTTCAGCCCCCGATCGCGTTTTGCGGCCGGTGTGGGAAGGCTTCTCATCAAAAAAAACAAATCAGGGCAATATGAAGGTGAGCCCTCGTAGACTTTCCATGTAAAATCGTGGTTTTGACACGCGACGACCCAACCTCTCGCCGATGGACTTGCCGAGGTGCTACAGGGGGGCACGGTTCGGGGACACCTCAACCTACCTGAAAGGGCCTGGGGATCAACGCAACATCACGGGGGTCGCGTGCCGAGCGCGGCGTCGACCCAGTAGAGGTAGCGGCCGCGGTCCGTGGACAAAAAGCTGTCGGCCAAGCGGATCTTGTAGACGGCCAGCCGGGCGTCGCTCTGCAAGTGCAGCGACTCTCCTAGGTCGACCTCAAAGTCGCTGTCTGAGCCGGCCACCCTCTTGCGGCTGTCCACGTAGATCGTCGTCATCCTTTTCTTTAGGAAGCCGCCCGTCCGGCGGACAACGGGCGGCTGGACGGCTGCGACGGAGGTGCAGCAGGAGATGTTCTCACACTTCGCGTTGATCAGCGTGGAGCTGGCGAACAGCTTCTGGCCCAGGAAGCTGAGCGCCGCTCCCATCGGCGTCTTTTTCAAGGCGGGAAACGCTCTTTCGAAGCGCTTGTAGAACCTTTCGTTCTTCGGGGGCTTTCCAGGTAGTACACAAAAGGAGGCAGACACGCAAGCAGTAATGTTCTCTTCTCCCAGGGTCTCCCTGGCTCAACACATAAGCCGGTACATCTGCTCCTGGGGGGGGGGGGGGGGAGCGTGGGCGCGGCATGTCGGTGCGGTCAGAGGGTACACATGGCGCGAGCGGGACGACATAGTCTATAAAATCAATAGACTCATTCTCGGGTCTACCTCTCTATGCTGCGGTGCTGGTTAGTGGTCGTAGTGCTGGTCTATGTGGGGGGGGGGTGGGGGGGGGGGGGGGGGTGGGGGGTATATTGCCCTCCAGCAGCAGAGGAATTGCATGTTGACCCGCACGGCTGCGCTGATGAGCCTCAGCTTCTGCAAGCTCACCCATTTGCTGATCTGCATGTCACGGCCTCGGACGAAGAGGTGTCAAGGGCGCCGTGCGGCTTGTGGAGTTGCGGCGTGTCAGCAAAGTCGTCGATGACTACAAGCACCTGGTACAGTTTCTTCATTTCAAACTTCTTGGACGCTTCCGTGATCTTGCGCTGCTGCTGGATGATGCGCCGCAAGGCGGACTCATCCCACTCGTCCCAGTAAGCCTGCTCACGCTCCGTGTTCACCCCCAGGTCCTGCTCGATGTACTTCTTGACGGGGATCCAGCCATCATCGATTTTGACGCTTGGGCTGAAAACGTAGATCCGCTCAAACACGCCCTTGTACTGCTCCAGGATGAGGCTGATGAGCGCCACGGTCTTGCCCGACTTGCTGGGCCCGAGGAAGATGCCCGTGCATGGCACCAGGGGCACCACGGGGTCCGAGGCTTGCTTGCTGGTGTACTCAGGCGTGGGGAAAAGCGGCTCAAGTGGCTCAGGCCTTCCCGCGGCTGGGCCGTTAGCATGGCATGGCGTGTGACCAACAGAGCACTGGCAGTGACCCTTTTGTCATTTACCATTTGCGTTGTCCCATGCAAAACCTTTCAACAGCATAGCTTGCGAGACACACTAGGCGGCGTGCCCCGGACGCCATGAATTCGGCTGGAACCCTTCCCGCTGACCAGATGATGAGGCCAGCAAAGCAGATGAAGCTGGAACCGGATCCCCGACTGTGGTCGGCGATACATGAATTGGATGATTTTCATATTTCAGACCTTTCAGAGGATGGACATTTCCTTACATGCAGTTTACAGTCTGATGATATGCGGGGCATCAAGATGCATATTCCTTTTTCCTTGGATTTGCACTGCATGGTGGCTCGAGTTGGATATGACAGAAATGCAATTTTTTGTTTGCGTGGAAACCACAAAACCACACCGGAACAACAATCAGGAGACCTGGTTCTTTGGCTCACGAATGAATCCGCGATTTTCATCAAAAGAAACTGCAACAGAGTGAACCAAAACAACCATGTGATTTTCAGCCCCTTTTGCGGAGGTATTGGAGGCTGGGCCCATGCGGCACGATTCATGACCAAACACGGTTACCCTTTCACGTGCCCGTTGGCCATGGACATTTCGCGGGAAGCGGCGGTATCATACTCGCAATCCCACGGGTTGACTCTGGTCAACCAACCATTGCAGGCGGTACATCTGCAACGGCCATGCGTCCTGGTGGGTGATGTCTTGCAATCATCCCCTTGGATGGGCGCATCAATTTTGAATACAGACATCGTGACGATTTCCTGGCCTTGCGTCACATTCTCCTCGGCAGGTTTGCAGCAAGGATGGTCAGAGGAGACGAGAGAGATGTTTCGATTTACTGTTCAACAATCAAACCTCATCGGAGCAAATTTCCTGCTTTTGGAAAATGTGCCACCTGTTTGGACAGACTGGGCGTGGAGATCAACACTTTTTGCGGAGCTTGCGGATCAGCATTTTGAATTGATTTTCGCAGATGTCATTTCGACGAAGGCAGTGGTCCCGGCAGATCGTTCCAGGTTCATTGGAGTTGCAATCAAGAAGAACATGCGAGTTTTGTGGGACGGCCAGAAGAAGAAAGAGGTGATGCGAGCCTTCCATGGGATATGCAAAAATCTGGGCAGTGAGGGCATGTGGTTTGATCAGATTCCTCAGCAACTTGCCTGCCAGGTACACTTACGAGATGATGAGCTGCAATTGTATGCATGCCCAAGAAGATCACCCAGATATGTCCGCAGCCAAGAGCAGGCATTGGAGCTGAGACTTGTGTCAGGTGAGGGATCCATGCCTGCAACTACTATCATGCGAAGTTACTCACAGCAGCACCTTTTCCATGAGGTCCAGACGGGTTCAGCCAAAATTCTGGGAAACCTTCGCTTGGGACAGGACAACCGCCCGAGACTGTTTTCGCATCCGGAGATCCTCACCGCCATGGGGTTCACAAATGGAATCAACTCACCTGTCAACGTGAAGCAGGGATGCGCAGAAACAGGCAATGCAATCATGCAAATTCATGCGATGGCTGCCTTTTGGGTGGTAATTGAGAATGAAGACTTGCAGACAATTGGAGATTTTCAGGACTTTGATCAGTGCGTGAGAGCCTTTCAGGCATGCAGACACAAAGCGACAGGCGATATTCAGTTCAGGGATGA